GCTGTACGCCGGCTCCCTTGGCCAGTAAAGCCAGATGAGTGCTGCAACCCCAGAGTCATCCGTGACTGGACCTAACGGTCAGGGGTCCCTTTACCTCTCAGGTCCTAGTCCAGAACTCTTAAACCACTGCACCACCAGGCGGTTCTGCAGGGAAGGAAGGAAGCAGCTGCCTGGAGCCAGGAGTTGCTTTCTGCGCTCCAGGTGTGGGGAGAGAACCTCCAGCTCTTGCAGGAGATGTCTCCCTGAGCCTTGGTGCTAGCGCCGGCTGGAGATCACAGCTCACACGATGGTGGCCCTTCCCTGGCCTCTGCCACAGGTTGCGGGGTGCTGCAGGGGCCCGTTTTCTGACTCACACAACGGCGAAAGGTTCAAGTGTGCAAAATTCCCATCATGCCTGGATGACATCTCAACAGCTCTGGTGTCCTGAGGGAGACCACAACCACCTTGGTCCTAGTGATTGGAGACACCCAACCGCCCAGGTGGTGATGGAATAATAATAATTTATTATTTGTACCCCGCCCATCTGGCTGGGTTTCCCCAGCCACTCTGGGCAACTTCCAACAAAGACCAAAAATACACTAAAATGTCACACATTAAAAACTTCCCTGAACAGGGCTGCCTTCAGATGTCTTCTGAATGTCAGGTAGTTGTTTACCTCTTTGACATCTGGTGGGAGGGTGTTCCACAGGGCGAGTGCCACCACCAAGAAGGCCCTCTGCCTGGTTCCCTGTAGCTTTGCTTCTTGCAATTAGGGAACCGCCAGAAGGCCCTCAGTGCTGGACCTCAGCATCTGGGCAGAACGATGGGGGTGGAGACGCTCCTTCAGGATGGTCCTGTCAATATGTGCAAGGAAACATGAGCCGCTGGGGGGTGGGCTTTGCCCTATGGGGTGGGCAGGAGGGCAAAGACAAGCATCTCAAGAGAAGTGCCTTTTGCCTGATGGTGGGGGCAGGGAGAATGAGTATTGCTGTAGCATCTCTGTGTCCTTGCGATCCTGAGCTTTCCTTTCCAGAAAAGCCAAGCGGGTTTTCCCAGCCCTGCTGTGCCTGCAGAGAGTGGCTTGCCTAAGGGGTCAGCAAGCAAACAAGTGCCCCCCCTTTGCCAGGGTGGAGTGGTCTTGGGGTCCAGAGGGTTTGCAGGAGCCTCTCCCCCCAAAGAGGAAAGCCACACACACACCTTGAACAAAAGCAAGGGAATGGGCGCTGGCGTTTCCGAACAATAAGAGGAACGGATACAATTTCTCTTTGCTTGCATTTTCATATCGTTGGAGCCAAACATGAGTGATAGAGCCCAACTATCTCTTCTAAGGATGGCATCTCTGATAGAGGGGAGCAAAGCTATTTCTATACCTCTGTGTCTCCGTTTGGGGTGATTCCCATAGCTGCGCGCCTGCCTTTTGCTGTGGTTGTTGCCTTCAAGGAAACCGGCCCTCAGTAGCCCAGAGAGAATCCTTTTGACCTCCACTCATCCATTTGGCTCAACCGTGCCCCCAAACACATATTTCTTTGGAAAGCCGAATCATGAAAATACAATAAAATTATTCAAAAGAAAGGAAATGTATGTATCTGTGCTTTGCATATTTATGTGGGCCTTGACTCGGAGAACAGCATCTGGGCCAAAGATGCTATGCCCCTGATTTAAAGGTCTGTAGCCTACACTGATATCCCAAAAGCTCCTGGGAGGTGGAGAGGTCACCTAGGGTCATAGAACCTTTGGGTTATCTGGTCCAACCCTTTGCAATGTAGGAATTCCTGCTAAAGAATCCCTGACAAACCGCCATCCAAGCTCTGTTGGAAAGCCTTCAAGAAAGGAGAGATCACTACTTCCTGAGGGAGTCTGTTCCACTGTCGACCACTCTTACCGTCATAAAGTTCTTCCTTTGAATCCATTGGTTTGGATCCTACCATTTTTAGCAGCAGAAAACAAGCTTGCTCCATCTTCCATGGAAGATCCCTTGTGATAATTGGAAGGTGCCCACCTCTCAGACTTCTCTTCTCCAGGCCAAACGTGCCCAACTTCCTCCACCGTTCTTCACAAGATCCCTTTATGGTCTTGGTTCCCCTCCTCTGCCCACCTTCCAGCTTGTCAATATCCTTCTAAAACTATGGTGACAAGAACCAGACATTGGACCCCCAGTGTGGCCTGACCAAGGCAAGAAGAGAACGGTTCTGTGGCTTCCCTTTTTTTTTTAAAAAAAAAAAAACAAAGTTATAACAAAACATATTTCCAAAAACATATCATTCCCCCCCATTTTTCCTCCCCCCCATAAAACCCATCCCCCCACCCCACCCCCCGACTTCCCTCAGTTCCAGTCTTTGGTTTCTCCAATAATGCTATTTTCTGCATGTTACAAGAGTTGTATAGATCCTCCAACTGTTTAGCTAATTATTATCAGTAAAAAAATTGTGAGTGTTCATTCAAAACCTGCCAAGGAGTCCAGTTCGCTTTGTTGCGTCTTCAAATACTTTGTGAAAGGTTCCCATTCATCCTTAAAGTCACAGTTATCCTTATTTCGTAGTTTATATGTCAATTTTGCCAGTTCTGCATAGTCCATCAATTTTTCTTGCCATGATTCTTTAGTTGGGGTTTCTTCAGTCTTCCATCCTTGTGCTACCAGAACTCTCCGGTTCTGTGGCTTCCCTTGATCTGGACTTCTCCATAAAAGTTGTCTCCTCCCAAGAACCCAGTTCCATTGGGGGAAACTGAGCAGCCAGCTGCCAGAGTAGCATTGTGACTAAGAGGTCGCCCCCAATTCGAATCTCGCTTCTTTAGCAGTGGGTGTCTTTAGACCAGCCCCCCCTCCTTTCTCAGAGCCTCCTGTGTGCATGGGATGATGACAGTGGCCTACCTTGCAGGGTCATCGCAAGAACTGCAGTGTGATGATGAGAAACCAGTAGGAGAACACTTCAGTCTCCCAGGGCATTCTATACAAGATCTCAAAGCAGCTGTCTTATTACAAAAGAATTTCAGAAATAGACTGGAAAGAGAGAGTCGCTGACTTGCAACTTATTACCAAACTTAAAACCATGGAGAGACCTGGTCTGAATAGAGACATTGGATTCTTATATCATTATACATGATAAAGCTCTTTTTAGCCATCTCACCCCTTGCTTTTTCCTGTAAGACCAACTGCAGTGGTTAACAGTCAACAGGTTTACCCCACCTATCCGCCAATCACCCATTCCCACCACCCTTCTGAGTAATACCCCTCCCCACCCTCTCACTATCTTTTTAAA